TGCCAGGTGGGGCTTCGAGGCTGGGGATGTGAGCTGGGGCCCCGATCTCCGCAGGCCACACCGAGGACCCCACCCATGCACGAATTTGTACACCGGGCCTCTAGTTAATTTATAAGAATACCAGGGACATTGCTCGGACATCTCTAATCAGCTGAGCAAGAATGGAACCATGTCTTACTGAACACAATTAAGGCTGGCGGGTATTTTGATGGAATTAACAAGTTGGCAGACGATGGGAAAAGCAGCAGATGTCACATATTCAGGCATCAGTAAGCCATGTTACAGCACCTCGAATTTTTATTGGAAAAGGGGCTCAGCCAGTCTTCAGTAATCAGGTAGGCAAGATGTGTATGAAGTTATGGGTACAGTCCTAATTAAAAGATTTATTTGAAAAGGTTTTGGAAAGGAAGGGTAATCTGTAGGAGACACAGTGAACCTTACACCCTGGGAATGGGGAGAGACCCTGAATGTAGAAGGTTTAGCTGTGTGCAAACTATGCCAAGTATTGTCATTGGGTAAATGCCTCCTGCCTTAGCTGGAGTCCCATTGTTCTAACTCTGCAAATACTGGAGGGAGAGGCATCTGCAGATAAGGGGTGGGGCAGGTAGGGAAGGAATGTGAGCCTAAGCCAAGAGAATGGTCCCAGAAATAGGCTGCGGGCCGGAAAGCCCAGGCCCCTCACATTCCGAGTGGCTGCGTGAAGGGCTATAAGAACCAGTGAGAAAGCATCACTTACAATCCCGACCTTGAGAAACCACGATTGCTTTATGTACAATGCTTTCCCATGGCTTACTCAGAACAGGACTGCAATGCCTGATGGGAGAGTGAAGAAGGGAACAGGTCCCTGGTGAGGAAGAACAAGGAAGAGCCAGAATAGCTAAGGGAGCTGGCACGAAAGTCATCATTGTTATCATGCAAACGCGTTTATAAATATCTCCGCACAAGCTGAGCGGGCTCTGTTCAAACGGCAGGCAAACCACCTCCAAAAGCAACCCACGGCAAGGCATAAGGCAAGGCAGGAAGGTGCCAAAACTTGATCTGCCTCGCCAGGTGAGGCACCGTTCAGGAAGCCAGAGGGCAGGGTGGAAGAACACAGAGACTAAAGATGAACCCGGGAGCAGGCCCGGAGAGAAAGAGCAGGACTTCTGGCAGGGAGCGCCTGCTTAGCTAAGATGCTATCTCTGCCTGATGACAGCCTGCTGGGCCCTGGCCCCCTTTCTGAAAACAGAGATGGGGGCAGGGAGAGGCAGTGTTGTGAGGTGGGACAGGCTGCAGCAGACAGGACTCCTGGCTGGGGCCCTGGGAGTCACCCAACCTCTCTGAGCTGCTGTCTTCATCAGGAGTAATAGTCCTACCTGCCCTAGGTAATTGGGATTATTAGAGCTTTTATTGTAAAGAGCTGCCACTAACCCTTATGCAGATGAGGCTGGGTTTCATCTGAGACCTCCACCGACAGGCCCGTCTGAAGAGTAGACCAGAAGGAAAAGGAACCACTGGGCACTTGGTGGGGACAGACTGAGGCCAGCCTGTGCTCGGCGGTCATTCACTTGCAGACAAGCCTGGCCGTGGGAGGCGACTCCTCCTGGCAGAGGATGTCCTTCTCTGGACCCCACCTCCTGGGCACTATGGACGCCAACAGGAGGGGAGGAGGCCGCCGCATGGCCACTGTGGCCCTTACGCGCGCTCTGTGTGGTTTTGGTGGGGCCACTGCAATGATCCCAGTGGCCTCTGGCAATCACACATCGGTGGGAGCACGGTGCTATGGGAAGGAAGGCCTGGGTGGGAGAGACCTGCACATCAAAGCTCCTCCTTGTTGCTGTTGAGGGGCTGGTCCAGAGGCCCTGGAGCCTGGGGCTGGTCCACTGGCTCATGGAAGCCAGGCCACTGGCCACTGTCCTCCCTGCGCTTGCCCGCAGCGGCATAGTCCTGCAGGAGCCCACTCTCCACTCGGTGCTGCCGGAGGCTTCCGGTTCCCACCAGCCCCTGCATCCTCAGGTATCCCTGCTGGCAAAAGGGCGGCAGCTTCTGGCGCGTCAGAGCGAACAGGAAGCAGGACTCTAGAGAAAAGCAAAAGGAGATGAAAGAGTCCGGCTGAGAGGTGGGGGGCGAGGTGCAGGAGGAGCTGCCGGGGCCTCCCCCAGGACCCTCCATCCCTGAGCCTGGGAGCTGACTTTTCTGGGTGTCTCATTTCTGACCGAGTGGCCATGGAACTCAGCCCCTTCAGTCGTTCCAGGAATCGGCTACCCCAGCATTTGGGAAGAATGAGGCTCCAAAATGAAAGCAAACCACAGAGATGACTCAGCTTCCGGAGACGGGGCCAGCAGGATGCTCTGCCCGGGTCAGCCTGGCGTGGGACTCCGTCCCCTTTTGAGCTCAGAGTTGCCTGCAAAGATTTCTTCCCTCGACCATATCTGAGTGGCAAGTGCCAGGTGCGAGCCCTGCTCTCAGCGCTGCGGGGTCACGGAGACAAAACGGGTCAACGGCGCTGTGACTGACCCTCCTCTGTGCCACAGCAGTTGGTGGGCCAACTCGGCCGGTGAGGCAATCATGCGGGTACTAATTATTTAGAAATAGGAAGAAACACCAGAAAAGCTAGAAGCACTTCCTTCTGGAGAAGGAGAATGGAGGTGGGAAAAGGCCTTGTAGCCAGGTATTACGTAACTTTGATTTAAAAAGACAGAAAGGATGAAACATATGGGCTCAGTGCTCTGAGGGACTGAGACGGGATGGGAAAGTGGCATGAGTGTCAGAAAACCAGCCTGAGTCTTTTATTTCACAAAATGGGCAAACGGGTGGGCAAAAGTAGGTTTACAGTTGTTCGAATGTCAGACAAGCAGGTTATAATTCTTACAACAGCTTTATCAACTCCAAAGAATGTCACAGTGCGGCTGCACTAGTAAACCTACTTTGGTCCACCCTGGTATTGCAAAGAATGTTGGGAGGCCTACATGGGAGAGCAGGCTGCTACACAAATATTATTTCCCACTTCAGTTCTGACTTACAGCATAGAGGGTCCCTGACGACCCTCTCCGGGCAGGGAAGAAGCAGGTGTGAGGGGAGGATGGCGGAGGGGCAGCAAGGTGGCCTTTTGGCAAGCACCCGCTTCTGATGACGCGCATCACCCCTTCTGCAGGGGCGAGGGTCAGAGACCCAGCATATCATCTAAGGGGGCGGGGAGATGGCCCGCCCTCTGCCAGGTAAGATTCTTCCGAGTTCAAGGCACTGACATAGTGGCCTGTACTAGTGTCTAGGGAGCGGGAGCCAGGAGGCTAAAGGGCCAGTGATGATCCAGTCGTAGGAGCCAAGACTCAGGGTGGGAGTTCCCTAATGGGCCCAGCATCCTGTGTACTCCCGAAACCTCGAGACAGGCAGGGGCTTTGTAGCTGAGGTTAGTCCTGTTCCATGTACTTCACGTGTAAGCCGACAGTTTGCAGAATGCTTGTATTCTGCTCTATGACTCTCCTCTGTTGGAGCATTTATATGTATGTGGACAATGAATTTAAACTATTGTTTTAAGCCATCTCTCTTTTTCAGGCAGATGCTCTCTCCACTGAGCCAAACCGGTTTCGGCTAAGCCATCTCTCTTAATGTACACATTCACATTTTATTTCAAAGTGGACCAAGGATGTCACCTGGGATGAAACAAGGACTGACCACCTCTCACCTGATTTGGTACGAGTAGTACCTTATATACTGCGGATGCTTAACAGGTGTTTGCTGTACCACAGCGATAGTGCGCAGTTTGGCCCCAAACTCACAAGTGAGGCCTAGTGGTTGGAAGTCATCAGGGGCAATCCCCCCCGCCCTCCCCTCCCGATGGGTCTCTACCATCTCCGTCTTGGGGGTTCTTTGCCTCCTAGTTTACCCACTGAGACCCAAGCTTATTTGAAGGTCTCTAAACAGACACGCCCCCTGCTCTAGCCTCATCTTCCTACCCCCCTAGGCTGCTCACTTTCCCAGGCCCGGCCTGCTGACGGCCAGCAGATGGCCACGTCCAGCTTGGGTTTATGCCTTTCTTAGTGTCTGGCTCTGGGAAGTTTCCTAATTTTCCTGCCAGTGCTTTATTCGGCGTTTTCAGGCGTACTGTCTGGGAGGGGTTTCTGTGAACACCTCGTCCACCACGTTGTGGGAAACGGAGCCCTGGGTTTGGGTTTCTAGCTGTGCCTCCTGAAACCGCTCGGGGCACGATCTCTCTGGCCTCTTCCCGCCCTCTAGCTCAGTCCCTGTCGTTCGGGGCACGTAAGTTACCTGCGTAGAAGCTTCGCAAATCGGTGCCCAGACAGTTCTCCAGGAAGCGCCTCAGAGGCAAGATGTGGCTCACGGGGGCGGTCCAGTCCGTCAGGAAGTCCTCCAGGATGTGGTGGATGGCCGCGGGCCGCGGCAGGGGCCAGTCTGCAGGGCGGAACCTCACCTCCTGCTCTGTGGGGGAGAGGCAGGGCCGCGTCAGAGCCCAGCAGCTGGCTTCCCACCCCGGGGTCAGTGGCAGCGGCGTGGTTCCCGCACCTTCCCAGTGCCTACCCCGCTCACGCATGCCCATGAGCTCGGCTCTCCTGGGACAGCTCTGTGCTGGTTGCGGTCTGTTCCACAGCCATCCCCGAATGCTTGGAAGGTTAGCATGAGGAAGCAGGACAAAACTAGACTTGTCCCTTATGCTATCAGAGGGCAGAACTCAGACCAACCACTTGAACTTGGTGTTTCTCTAAGGCTCACGTAGACTGAGGTCTATTATGGCTGCTTCAAAACTGGTCTTTCTGTGAGGAGGCTCGGGTCCAGCATCGGAAGGGGTCTTAGAGCTCACCTAGACCGTCTCCCACCTGTTGTGGGTCCCCTCTGTGGTGTCCCGTCAGATGGCTCAGGCCATGACCCAGCCACCTCTGTACTGGGAAATTTGGCTCTAGGAGGCCGCCCATTCCACTGTGGGACAGCGCCGATATTACTTGCTCCTTCCATTGGATATACACCTGCGGTCCTGCCACTTGGACCTGTTGATACTACCTCTGCCCTTTTCAGATCATCCTCTTCCAACTGCCAGCCCTTCAAGTTCTGAAGCAGGAGTTGGGTTCCCTGGGTGGTTCACCTCTTGGTAGCTACTCTGCCAGGCACCGTGCTGGCATTCTGTATCTAACATCTCATTCATCCTCACACAGGAAGGAAGGTACTGTTTTTATCCCCATTTGACAGAGGAGGAAGCTGAGGCTCAGAGAGGTTAATAAACGGTCCAAGGTTGCACAGCAGGCAAAGGACAGACCTGGGAACATCTCCCAGCTCTTCTGCCCTGCACCGCTCCACTCCTGCATTAACCGCTTCCAGTTCCTCTCCCTGTTCCGTCGAATCGTCTCCAAGTCCGCCCTCCCCACTCCACGATCAGCCTCCTCTGGAGACACACAGCAAGACCGCATCCCTCTACTGTATGGTGCCTGGAGATCATGCTACCCCGTGTGTGCCCTGCCCAGGTCATGGTGCAGGCCAGAATCTGGGACCGGCACTTATCATTCTTGGACCTCCTGCCTTGGGGCCGAGTCCCCAGCAGTCCTCCTCTGTCAGCGGAGTGTTGTGGGAGGGACTCAGGGTGACCCCTCGATACCCAGGGGGGCCCGAGGAGTGCCCACCTCAAGAAAGCCCAGGCGGGAGGGAGCGCAGAGCCACTCACCGGTGGGGAGGTGCCTGTAGTAGTAGATGACAGGGTGCAGGAAGTTAGACTGCCAGGCGTCTTCTGTGTACCCCACAGACCGGTCATAGAAGAAGACGTCCTTGTCGGGCCCAGAGAAGTTTCTGCCGTATTCCATGTTGATGACGAAGAGCCCGTGCCTGGCCTGCCTGCCGGTGACTGCCTCCAGCTGGGCCAGCATCTGCATGGGGAACTCCTCCAGGTACTCGAATGCTGTGCCGTTCCTGGGACCAAGGCAGATGGGAGGCCAGACCCTCAGTGCTGCGGCAGAGGCGAGGCGTGTGCACGTGGGCCTGTGTGTACGTGCCCCTCTCCCTCCAGGAAGTGACAGTCAAACAGCACACGGACTCTGACCCGCCCTGCACAGCTCACGCTGATGTGACAGTGGAGCCCTGGGACGGGGCGCATGCCTTGGTGTGTTAAGGGACAGGAAGAGGCCAGGGTGGCTGGAGTGGAGCTGAGGGGAGGGCCCGGCGAGGTGGGTGGGGAAATGGGTGGGTCAGGTAAGGAAGGCTTGTGTAAGCCACGATGGGAACACCTGGTTCCATCTGGACTGAGGGGGAGCCCCGGGCCCAGTGAGTACTGAACGGAGATGAACTGGTGGGACTCGTGTTTTAAAGGGCCACCCTGGCCATGCGCTGAGAGCAGACCGCTGCTGGGCCAGTGCACGTGAGAGATGCTGTGGTCCGGACAAGGGGCAGGGCAGAGCTGTGCGGGGAGGTCAGTTCTAGATGACCTGAAGGAGAGCCAACGGGACTTACGGGTGGTCTGTGTGGTGAATGGGTGTGAAGGTGAGAGGGTCAAGGCCGACCTGAACTTGGTGTGCTGCCGCACTTCCTGGCTTTGGGCCCGCTGTTTCCTCTGAGAGTTCTTCCTCTGCTTCTCACCTGCCACCTGTCCTTGGGGGGCCTCCCTCCAGCCCCTCTACAGTTTCCTGCTCAGGAAGTGTCCCCTTACACTGGACCGAGAAGGAGCCAGCTTGGCCCCAGCCCCAGGGAACTCACGAATCTCACTGGTGTTGCAGTTTACTGCTCATCTACTTGGTGCCAAATGCTTTCTATGCGTTACCTTTACTCCTTCCTGCAGTTCTGCCAGGTACGCAGAACCCCACTTTCCCCCCATTTTGCAGGTGAGAGAAAGGCTCAGAGAGGCTAACTAACTGGCCCAAAGTCACACAGGTAGAAGGAGGCACAGCCTGGTTCACACTCAGGTCTGACTGTCTGCAGGGCTGGTGGGGTGATTTCACTGGTTTTTCTCCAGAATAAATCCATCTCCCCTACCCTCACCCGTTTCTCCTCAGGCTTCATCTTAGGAGGGAACCGCCGGGCTATTCCACACTTGGGAAAGGCAGGGGTGTGACGAGGGTAAGGCGGGGCGGCGGAGGGGCAGGTGGTGGGGTGGGCGACTCACTCCTTCATCAGGACGACATCGGCGAGCACACTGAACATCTGGTAGAGCCCCGAAGCCTCGTTCACGCGCCGGAGGACGCAGCTGGTCAGCTGTGTGACGGGGTGCTCGGTGGCGGGCCAGGCGACACCGTGGTGGCGATGCTCCAGCAGCCGGTGAACAGCACGCGCTGAAATGGCCAGGGGGGGGAGGGCATGCTGCACTTAAGGATTTATCCTTTTCCTGGCCGATGTGGCTCAGTGATTGAGCGTGGGCCTATCGACCAGGAGGTCACGGTTTGATTCCACTCAGGGCACGTGCCTGGGTTGTGGGCTCCATACCCAGAGGGGGTTGCAGGAGGCAGCCAATCAATGATTCTCTCTCATCACCGATGTTTCTCTTTCTCTCTCTCTCCCTTCCTTGCTGCAATCAATAAAAATACATTAGAAACGAAGAATTTATCTTTTGCCATCAGGAGGGACATAGAGTCCCCATCAACGTCTCTAAACTCCAGGCACTGTACCACGACGCCCAGAGATGCCTTTAGAGCAGGGTCAGCACGGGGTTTCCGTGAAGGGCCAGGTGGAAGCATTTCCGGCTTGGCAGAGGCTGTCACGCTACTCACTTCCGCCTCTGGTGCAAGCAGCCGCAGAGGACAGCTAAGTGAAGGGGCGTGGCCGAATCTGGTCCCCAGGCCCGTGTTTGCCCCCTGCCTTCGCCACCTGCATAGGGAAGCCCCGCAGCTATCACCCCACACGTGGTGCCAAAACTGGACCCACCGCCTTCCTCTGCAACCTCTCCCCTTGCCTAGTCCCTGCTCCTGTGGGAGACATCCCGATGGAGACCCTTTGCTCCCTCTCCTTCACAGCCTGAACCCAGTCTGTCACCGAGTTCTATTTTGAAATGCTTTGTATATGTATGTCAGGCCAGAAAAGTAGCCGCTGTCTAAAACAACAGGAGACGTTTCTGTGTGCCTGGGGCTGTCGGATACAGTTGTGAAACTGGGGCACCGCACACAGATGCCTGCTCTTCCAAAACGAATCAACACAACACCCAGATCCAGGAAAGGCGAGGACACAGCAGTTGAGGTGACAGGGGACTCGCTGGCCCACAGTCAGAGCGAGGCGTGCAGCCTCACCAGACACCTGGCTCTCTGGAGGAAACCGCCGTGAAGCTGAGTTCTGCAAAAGGTCGAGGAATTACACGGCTAGAGAAGTTTGGGAACGGAGCCCTGACAAAAGGAGCACACATGTGAAGAAACAAAATCTTCACACAGCCTGGCACCTCTTGAGAAGCAGGCGAGGGGCCAGGCTGGAAGGGCGAGCCCGTGTTGGCTGCGCAGAGCTCTGAGTGCCGTGCTGGGAGCTGGGACTCCCTGCGGAGACGGGGAACCACTGAAGATGTGCGAATAGAGGAAGGATACAGTTGTTGTTTTTATTTGTTTTTGTTTTAAAAGGAAGGTTGTTCCGGTGGGTACTATGGTAGGGAGGGTACAGAACAGAGACGGGGGATGGGCAAGGCTTCCAGCAAGTCCTACGTTCCAAGCAGTTCCGGCCTGTGCCGCCCGCCCAGCTTTATCTTCTGTGGCTTCACTCTGCCTTACTGTTTGCTACTTGTCTCCCTCGGGGCCTGTTTCTCACATGAATGATGAGCAAGGTCTGGGCAGAATGTACTGTGTAGTCACCCGTCCCTCCCCCAGGAGGGTCCTCAGTGAGTGCTGACCACGGCAGTCTGTGGCTACACACCCACGTCTGTTTCTCATTTGCCTGAAGCTCCGCAGTTAGCTGTGAGCACCACAGTCAGGCAGATATGGGTTCAATTTCCACCTCTGCCATCCACTGGCTGGGTGACTTTGGGCAAATTACTTAATGTCTCTGAGCCCCAGTTTCCTTATCTGCCAAGTGGAGTTGAAATAACAGGATGTGTCTCATGGGGCTGTTGTGAGCTGGAAAAAAGGGGCAGAGGACAGAGGGAGCAAGAGGGAAGGGGCGGTGTGTGCCAGGAGAGCGGGTGCAGGGAGGGTGCCGGGCATGGGAACGGTGATGAGGGTTTCTTACTGGGGAGACTCGGCTGATGAGACACTCTTCTCATTCCGTGTGTGTGCGTGTGCATGTGTGTGCGTGTGCATGTGTGTTCACTGTGCAAATACTCTGCTTTACAGACAGCTAACACCCTCCCCTTGATGTCCTTCTGACAACACGTGTGGGGTGCAAAATGTACTGTCTGGAAATCAACAGTAAAACATAACTACCTTTCTCTGCCAAACTGGAAGGACAGTGATGTGCAAAAGTGAGCATTAAGGCAGTGCGAGGCATCCAATTAAACACAGAAAAGTCAGAATGCAGGTGCAGGGCCTCATGGTGTTCATGACAGAATTAACGGGCTCATGTAACACCTGCCACGCAATAAAGCACCCATCCCACAGCCTCCCCAGAGGGCAGAAAATTTATACCCTCAGTACCTAAAGCTCGAAAAGGAACAAATATAATCCAATTGTAATTCTTTTTAAAAAAAAATTTTTTTTATTGATTTCAGAGAGGAAGGGAGAGGGAGAGAGAGATAGAAACATCAATGATGAGAGAATCATTGATCGGCTGCCTCCTGCACGCCCCCTACTGGGATCAAGCCTGCACCCTGGTCATGCGCCCTTGACCAGAATTGAACGCGGGACCCTTCAGTCCACAGGTCAATGCTCTATCCACTGAGCCAAACCAGCCAGGGCTCCAGCTGCAATTCTTATTCAGATTTGTCGGTGCCCAAAAACTGTGTGTGATACTTCACAGCTGCACGGTCCCAGGTATGGCCTTGTCTAGTCCTTACCACAGTCCCGTGAGGGCAGGGTCCCCCCTCACTCCCTCTGATGTGAGGGTACCCCACAGAGGCTTAGAGAGGTTAGGAAGCCTAACCTCTGAGGCCACCCCACGGGGAGGAACCCAGGTTAACATTCCTCAAGCTCAGTGTTCTCACCAATACATGGCACTTCACCCGACAGGACACAGGCATGTAGCATGCACCCCAGATGCACGTACTTTTATACCTTGTTGGATGCTTTTCTAGACATATCCTCAGACCATGGAACCTCACTGCTGTCTGCCCCAGACTCGGAATTTATGACAGCCGACTACTGATGAGCAATCCGTTGAAGGCTGCTGGAAACCACAGTGTGCTTCCCGAGTCTGGGGAGGTGGGCTCACCTGTGTATCGGAATCCATGGATGAAGCCCCCAGCAGATTTCCGGTAATCCACAGAGTGGCTGGCTGTACCCAGGACAAAGAGACCACGGCTTCCTTTGGACTCATAGCTCGGTCTGACCAGTGGGTACTTCTTGCTGAACTCGCTCCCTGAAGACAGTCTGAGGGACCTGTGAGCAGAAAGTGTTGTTAATAAAAATTGCTGCTGTGTATGAAACATGAATTACAGGCCTGGCTCTGAGCTAAGTGTTTTATATTCCTTACTAGAGGCCCAACGCATGAATTTGTGCACTCGTGGGGTCCAGCCGGCCCGGCCCCCGATCAGGGTGGATCGGGGCTGGGCCTGTTGTGGCCGGCCAGGGGGAAGGAGTTGTGGGGAGGTTGGCCGGCCGGCCCCATCCCCGATCGGGCCGGTTCGCTGGTTGCAGTGGGCAGCATAGCGACCGGTAGTCCAGAGTTCCAGTCACTGGCTTTTTATATATATAGATTGCATTTAAATCATACCATGACCCAGGAGGCAGGTATAATCATCTCCATTTAACAGACAGAGTAACTGCGGCTCGAGTTAAAGATGTGGCGGGTCAGGACCAAGTCAGGATTCAAGTCTTACTGGGCTCTGGGCTAAGACTGGGCCTTGTGTGACCCGATGGGACAGGAGGGGCTGGTTCAGACCCCGAAGTTCTTGTCTGCCTGCGCCCTGACCGGAAGGGAAGTGAGACCCTGAATGGATTCTGTGATACTAAGCCTTACACAGGAACTGGGGCAGCAACGTCTAAAAAAGATGAGGATCTATAAAGCAGTTCTTCAAAATGCAATCTACATATATAAAAATCCAGTGACCCGAACGCTGTAGTGACCGGAACGACCAGTCGCTATGCTGCCCACTGCAGCCAGCGAACCAGCCCAATTGGGGATGTGGCCAGCTGGCCAACCTCCCGCGGCACCTTCCCCTGGCCAGCCCCACTCCCAATCCACCATTCCCACCCAGATCAAGGGCGAGGCAGCCGGCCAACCCCGCTGTGGCCCCTGCCCCTGGCCAGCCCTGCCCCCAATCACCCCTATGCCCCAATAGGGGGCAGGGCCAGGCGGCCAACCTCCTGCAGCCCCTTCCCCCACCTAGCCCCACCTGATTGGTCCCACCCCAGATCGGATTAGGGGTGGGGTTGGCTGGCCAACCACCTGTGGCCCCTCCCCCAGCCAGCCCCGTCCCTGATAGGCCCCCTCACTTGAATCAGGGGCAAGGCTGGCGGCTACTGCCCATAGCCCCTATCCCCAGCTGGCACCACCCCTGATCGCCCCCCACCAATTGGGGGCGGGGCCAGCTGGCCCACCACCCCTCCCCATGGCTGGCCCCACCCTGATTGGGCCCTGATCAGGGCAGGCCAGCTGGTCAACCTCCGGCAGCCTCCTCCTCCCAAAAGGCCTGGCCCCGATACTCCCCAATTGGGGCCAGGCCAGCCCGACCCCCCACCTGTGCACGATTTCGTGCACTGGGCCTCTAGTCATAAATAATTTCGGCTGCCAACATTTTTTTTTAACATATTTTATTGATTTTTTACAGAGAGGAAGGGAGAGAGATAGAGAGTTAGAAACATCGATGAGAGAGAGACATCGATCAGCTGCCTCCTGCACATCTCCTACTGGGGATGTGTCCACAACCCAGGTACATGCCCTTGACCGGAATCGAACCCGGGACCTTTCAGTCCGCAGGCCGACGCTCTATCCACTGAGCCAAACCGGTTTCGGCTCGGCTGCCAACATTTGGTTGAGCATATCGTATATGCCAAGAAGCTTTCTCTCTCTCTCTCTCTTTTAATGCCCTTGACTGGAATCGAACCCAAGACCCTTTGGTCCACAGGTTGATGCTCTATCCACTGAGCCAAACCTGCTAGGGCCCAAGTATTTTCTATATTCATCCTCACA